TATAATGTGAATGTGGAATGAGGCTTCACACAATAAAAAAAAAAAAAAAGCCAGCAATTTGATTTAGGTTGAGTTGTCTAAACCACTAAAAGTTTCACATTCCTAACAGTAGACGCTAATTTGAGAAAAGCATTTTAAACCTAAGAATGCAACCCTACCTGACTAAAAACACACATGCCACCTAAATACTGTGAACTGTTGACCTTTGCTCAGAGGTCAAAACACCTCAAGAGAGGGACAAAGACATGAGCTGTGGAGAAACTCACCTGGAATGTGAAAACTTCCACCTTCAGCCACAAATATCATCTCTGCTAAACTAAACAACATAAATGTTGTCAGGTGAGTCAGACGAGTTGATTCTTACATCAACTATGAGTCTGAACTTTAACTCCAGATGTGTCAACTTGTGTTTTTCTGTCCAGTTTGCTGACGGCATGGCCTCTAAAATCTGCTTTTAAACGCTAACATTTTCAACACACTGTGGCAAGATTTCAGGGCACAAAAATATTGTCGCTCTTTGGACATTCACGACGAGGCGTTCACAAACTCAGACAGAGAACTACAGTTGTGACGTGCGCCCTCACGTTCCCTCCTTTATTCCAGGGGGGGTTTGATTTTGGTTTAAACATTGGGAACAAGCTGAGTAAGATGAGTCATCCAGCTGTAGGAGAACCTGTGGCTCTGCTTTCCTTTGCAGCAAACGCAGTGAGAGCTAGTGCACAAAGAGGCCTCGCTGTGGGATTCAAAAAAGGGGGAGAGGAGGAGGAGCGGTGCGTAGAGAGAGAGAGAGGGTAAAGATGCTGGAGGCGGGGTACCGAGGTTACATTTGGACTGAATGGACTGAACAAGATGGGGGGAGGTGACAGAAGTTTAGGCTGGTTGTAGCGTAACCCCACACTCAAATCTTGGGACAGAGGTGCCCCCTGCTCTGCTGTGACACCACCCAGCCTCCCATTAACACAGTCACACAATACAGAAGGCCAGGCTGAGTGCCAGGTGCCTCTTCGAGTGTTTGCTCCATTCGCCAGCAAAACTTCATTTGAGGGGCAGCTTAAAAACGCGATACCTCCGATAACGATTGTGCACTCATGACAGACACTTCTGGGTCATTAATGTTGAGGTTTAAATGTTGTTGGTTCATTCAGATGCAGTCAAATGAGAAGAGGAAGTTTGGTCAACACATGGAAATGAGCTGCAGGTGAGGCTGAGGTCAAGGGCAACAAGAGAGAAATCAAAGCGTGAAAGAGTGGAAGTGGGATTTTTTTTTTTTTTTAGTTTATTTTAGCTGCACGTCTGGTTCGTTTGACTCTAAAGTGAAAGCAAGTATGAAAATCATTTCTATTTTCTCAATCAGGACGAAGAATGCAACAAAAAAAAAAATTAAAAAGTATTTTACATTTGCAGTCAAATACCTTCCTCTAGTGGTCATTGTTGAACATGACAGTTGATTTTCAAGCATATTTTAAAACTGATGTTTATGAATCTAATAGTTTGGGTTACAATAAATAAAGTACCCCCCCC